TCTCTCTCTCTCTCTCTCTCTCTCTCTCTCTCTCTCTCTCTCTCTCTTCTGCTGAACACAATGACAACGAACAGAGGCTATGAAAATGAAGAGAAATAAAGCGAGAGCTGAAATTTTAATAATCATATCAAATTTCGATCTTGAAATGCATTATTCCATCGGTTTACAGTGTATATGTTTTTATTTAAATGTTATTGTTGCATGAGAAGAATGTGTCTTTGTGTCATTTTGACTGGAACCAAACAGCCCGGCTAGCCCAACATCGCAGAGAGCCGTCAATTCAATGCTGAACTACTAGTTCACCCGATTCGTTCACCACTTTTGTAATAAATAAATTGAAAAGTCGCAAAAATGACGAAATGAAATACATCAATTGGTGTTTTTCGTCTCTTCGCTTTGCTACATGCATGTTCATACAATGTTTGGTGCCAACAAACGTGCACACATCTGCTGCCAATGGATTTTTCGTTACCATTTTGCCGTTACCCTTTTTCACATCAATTGTTTTCGCTCCTTTTCTTTGCATCTAAAGTAAATTTTGATGGTTTTGTGTGCAATGCCCGAAAAAAAGAAATAATGACGAGAGTCAAGAGACGACATTTCCAGTTCACTTCGGTTGAATGCAAGTGAAGAACGAATTTCTACATCACACAAATGGTAGCTGAACAAAAAAATAAATAAGTTTGATTAGCACGCGTATTTTTCCACGAAGAAATGTTTCATTTTATCGTAAACGGCATTAAATAAAGAAAACGGTTTGCGCGTTCGCACGAAATACCTAACTTAAAATCCGAGAAATTAAAAAGAGGAAATTCGAGCAAATGAAAAAAAAAACTAACTGGCCAGCACACTGAATCTCAAGATTGGCACAGCGGACAAAAAAACAAAAATCCGTCATCATCGACGGATCGGCGATTTTGCCATTGATGGTGAACAACAACAAAAATTACCGTTAAACTGTAAAGCATGCTTGGCCATGTATCGTCCACTTCATTATTTAATTGTTTGTTGCCGTTTCGTGTCTTTCAGTATTTTTGCGTGTGAATTGCTTTTAAGCGATTGCTGTGTTATCACAACCCATTTGCTCTCTGTCTCACGCGCTCGCAATACCAACACACACACACACACACACACAACCAGTGATTGGTCCATATGCCAGTTGTTGTGTGCATATGTATTGCAAAAGGCTCTTATTATTTGGTATTTCGCCGGTCTTTTTTGCCCGATTCGTTTGTGCGACGCACGTAGTCGTCTGTATAATTTGCGTGTGTTTTTTTCGGGCTCTGAAATATTTTCGCCAAGTATGTATAAACGTTCGTTAAGACGAAATTGTCTGCAAATCCAAAATGTATTGTGTTTGTACATTTTGAGTGCAAAGTGGGTACTGTGATGTTTGTACTTATATGCCTCTCTGTAATCGACAAGAACACCTATGTGTGTACCGCAATGGTTTCAGCAATGAACGACAGAAGGAATGACACGAAGGCACAGAAAAATAAAAACATTATGCACACACAACCATGGCTAAGAAATGAAACGAGTTCTCTGTGTGTTACATCTCCCTCTCTCACTCTTGTACTCTCTTCAATGATCAAATTTTTATTTAATTTTTTTTTTGTTCGTTGGCCAAAATAAAAATGGAATCGTTGGTTGGAGACCGTTGTGCGCTGCATGTATTGAGCACACCCAAGTACACTCGTACTCACTTCAACCCAAAAAAAAAGTTAAGAAGAAGAAGCGACAAAAAAAAACTTCAAGTCGATAATTTTTTGCTCACTTTGGCCTGACTCGACTCGACTCGGTTGCCGTTGCTTATTTCCGAACAATTCTACATGTTCATCAATCATATGAAGTGAATTTCGCGTCTTTCGTTCGACTTCACGCTAAATATATTAACGAAATGTGCAAATTTTCATTTGATTACCTACAAACATGCTTTCTTTTTGGCTTGCAACCGAGAAAGAAACATAACATGATGTAGACTATTTGACGAATATAAATGTGTCATTCGCATTTGTGTGTGCAATTTTCAGCACAAGAACGCTGTGTGCAAATATATTTATAAATGTGGAAACAAAAAAATACGCACCCTTTTTTTCTATAATTAAATATCCATGACTCGAAACTTTTTCGATGTCTTTCTCTCTCGCTGAATGTTAACCCATTTCAATGTGACTCGGTGTGCTTATTTTTTTGCCCCTTGCTTCCATTCAACGGTGTGAAATATGTTTTTTCACAAAGCAATACAGTTCATAGTGCTCGTGTATCGTTCGTTTTTTTTTTCTTCTCTTCGTTCATTCATGCATTCTGACGTGCTTTGCCTTATCTGCGTGCTCAATGACATTTTACAATCCATCCCGAGCAAGCAAATTCGCTTGAATTTATGAACACAAGTTCAGTTTTGAATCCAAAAGAAAAACCATATTACATGGTATTTTTTGTATGTTTGTAATGAACCAAATGCATTAATTCATGAACGAACTCCAATTAACTTGAAAATTTTGTCCCATCTATAAAATTGTATTTCATTTGAGTCTGCATATGCCTTTTTAATCTTATGACGACATTAAAATTCTTCACATGGATTCCATTCAATTTTCCAATGGATAATACCTTCAATGGCCACTTCCAACAAAAACAAAAAAAATCTGAAATAATATTAAATCAAAATGTTTTCGCTAAAGACTTTTACGAATTTTTTTTTCAATGAGATTGCAGTTTTTACAAACATTTTTTTCCATGGTTCAATTTAAAAATGTGCAAATTTATTGATTCATCAATACAAATCCTGGGATATTCTCGAAGTATAAGCAACATAATTGAAAAAAATAACAGAATTTTATCTGTAGAAACTCATTTCAGAGACAAAGAGATCACTTTTTCAAATGATATTCTATGAGTTAATGACGCTACGGTTAAATGTGTCAGAAAGTTGTATTAAAATAAAGAGTCCGAAATTCTTTTGTTTGTTTGCACCTCTTCACTTTCGTTTCCAAATTGAAATTTGTGTAAGAAAAAATTGGTTGCGTTTTTAGACGAAAATTCAAATAAAACTAATGGTATATGGACCAATTGATTGCAACTTACATTTCCTTCTTAGCGTAATTATTAAAGTGATGTTCGTTGTAAAGACGAATTTTCAATTTTATTTTCTCCGGATCGCTTTACGATGTACAAAAAAAAATGTAAATGAGATTTGGATTACTCAAGATACACTGTTCCACACAATGTTAGCGGGGCCTGAATGAATGAACATATTTTGGATATGATATATTTTTATATAGTTTTAACCCCATTTTCAAACCCATTTTTAGATCCAAACATATGGACACTTATACTTCACATATTATGTGAAGAAAAAAGAAACAAATGAAATGAGTGGAAAGAATAATTGAACTTACACAAAGTGCAAAAATGATGCTAAATAAATAAATCGATTTCATTTTTATTTCTTAACTGTCACACAGCTATCGAAGCACTAATGAACACTGAACAGTATTTTCTATATTTTATTTGTGTGTAAATCAATTTTTGTTTGATATCTAGTGGCTGTATCTTATCATAATTTGAATTTTCTTCTGGCTATGATGCAATGATTGATAAGAAATCGGGTGTGACTATAGAAATTGCGTGTTTCCATCCAAACTCGTGAGTTGTTCGCCAACGTGTCACAAGTTCGATGCAAACGTTCACGAGAGATATTCGGAACATGGATATGCACAGTTCATATATGCCACACTGGTTCGCTATAAAGCGCTCACATGTTTTGTCTTTTTTTTCTCTCCGCATGCTAACCTATTTCAATGTGACTCGGTGTGCTTATTTGTTTGTCCCTTGCTTCCATTCAATAGTGCGAAAAATATTACTTCACAATGCATTACAGTTCATAGTGTCCGTGTGTTCGTTTTTTTTTTCTTCGTCCATTCATTCCATCTCACGAACTTTATCTGCGTGCTCAATGACATTTTACAATCCATCCCGAGCAAGCAAATTCACTTGAATTTATGAACGCAAGTTCACTTTTGAATCCAAAAGAAAAACCATATTACATGGTATCTTTTGTATGTTTGTAATGAACCAAATGCATTAATTCATGAACGAACTCCAATTAACTTGAAAATGTTGTCCCATCGATAAAATTGTATTTCATTTGAGTCGTGTTTATTGCTCAATGCGTACGTAATTTGCTGATGTTTTTGTTCAATTGGCCAAGAGCAATTATGAAAACAGAGAAAAAAAGGGAAGGCTGCCCGTTACTACGACACCTGACGATCGCTTAATTCACCTCAATTTCCACGAATCGAAATTATAGCGACGACTTTACCATTCGCCGTTGCTGTTTTTTCTCTATTGCTCACTCTTGGCTTCAAAACAAAGTAACGTTTCCGTGGCAGCAGTAGTTGACATTTCCAAGTTTTATTTATTTTTTCTATTCTTGTTTTCGGTTCGTTATGCTTTTGCTTCTCTCTATTGCTTGAATTTTAGCCGTCACTGCTGTTGTTGCTTCTAAACGTGCGTTTATCTAGAAGGTATTTTGCGCGTTGGTTACATAGAGTGGAGATGAACGGAGAAAAATGAATGTACGCGCCGGGAAAAATCGGTTCATTCAATGTGATCGGTTCATTTTAAGAGAAAAACCCAAGATAACTCTCATCAAAATGAACATCGCATTGAGTCGAAGCCAATTCAAATATTCAACGGTTTCGTCCGTTTGAATTGGCTGCAGCTTAAAATTACGATTCGAGTTTTGGTTATTTTTATTCCATCAACACTCATTCCTATTCCCATTGCCGTCGATTTGCCCAAAAATCGTTTTCTCTTTCTCTCTCTCTCTCTCTCTCTCTCTCTCTCTCTCTCTCTCTAGAAACAGCAAACCAACATCGATATTTCTAATTCCGATGGAAAAGTCATGCATTCGACCGTGTTGATTCTGACGCAATTATGTCAGTACACTGAAATCCAACAGTAGCAGCAACAAAAACAAAAACAAATCAAATGAAATGCAAATCCAATGAAAGAAGAGAGAGAAAAAAAAGGCCGAGAAAAACAGAGCAGCATATAAATTTTGAAACACAATCATTGTTTGAATGTTTCAACTGAAAAGTGTTCACGTGTTTGTATTAACGAGTCCAATGAAAAATGACGCAGTCGACGAAAAACTTAAAACCTCTATTTTGAATGGGAAAAAAGTCCATTTATTAAGAATTCGGAATGACAACATTGATTCCATTTTATACTAATGAAGAGATATTTTCTATAAAAAAAAACCATTCGTTATCCGTTGGCATCGATGATCGACGGCGCTACAACAGTGACAGTGGCCATCGACCGACGTGTGTGTGTACATGTGGCGCGTTTTAAATTTATAAATTAAGTAAATGAATCAATAAAAATCATTTCGAAAGCAATTCATTACAATAGAATACGGGCCATGGATTGGATTTGATTCGGGATTGAGCAAACCGGAAAATGGGCTCACGATGTTGCGGTTTATTTTTAAGCCAACATTATCGTATATTATCAGTATTTGCCTGTTTATGCCTCGTTGTTATAACATTGCATGTAAACGCTGGATTAAACTGTTTGACAAACATACTAATCGGCAATAAGTGCGTTTGTGGAATATGCTTTTAAAATTGTGCAAAGTCAAAGTACTTTTGAAATTCTCTGGCCAATATGAGCACACAACTGAATAATACCAGTTAAGTGTGAATGCGCGATTTTGTTGAAATTAATCGATTAATTTATCGATTCTATTTATGATTGTTTGCTTGTTTGGAAAAGAAAAGCATTGCTCCTACTATTTCATTCGAAAGTGTATGTGCTTGAGCGTGCTGAAAGCTGTATTATACTTTTTGGAAGCCAGAAAAAAAATGATTTATACAAATCTAGTAGCCTCATGAAATTCAATTCCATATATGTTCAAAATATTAGCAAAAAAACACATATTGATCTGCTGTTTGCCAATGATGTAAATGAAGCTCAAACAACAACAGACGAAGAAAAAACTCATTCGAATCTTTGTTCATCTCTCTCTCTCTCTCTATTTCCAGGTTTATGGCGATTATGACGAAAACACCTACTTGCTTGAAGATTCATTTCATAAACAACTGAATTACACATTTAATTCGCAGTAAATCGATATAGGGGAAAAACAACAGACTAATTACAGTAAACTCGTTGTTTCGTTGAAAACTGCAAATATCTTAGTAACCAATACCTATTACCTATCGATTGTGAACGACGTCGACAATAAATTGATATTTGTTTTGCCCGCAAGAATACAACAAACAGCAACGTTTCGTTCCATTTGTTTTGTTTGCATTTTGGTTTTTGGTTTAGAAATTAGATCTGTGTATACGTGCAAATTGTGATTGAACAATGATTTAATGCAGATAGAAGACATTCGGTTGAGATAGTGTGTGCGTTTGTGCGCGATCGCGACATAGAGGAACACGAGAGAAACGTATGCGATACAACATCGAAGAAGAACGGTGGTTTGAAAACAACACAGACACAGAATGACTCATATATCGAACTATCAAAATTCACTTTAAGTTCTTTCGTCCTTGTTTTTTCGAAGCTTCCTCTTTTGGTTTTAACATTTAATTTGTTAATTTTTTTTCTCTCAAAATATCATTAGTTTGTTTTAACTCTTACACACAAATTTTGTTTGGTTTTATTGCACGAGTTTGTTGGAAGCATTTGTGAATTTGAAACGAGGAAACCAAGTGATTAAAAAAATTAACAGAATAAAATTGACATACGCGCCGAAATTAATTGTCGATTAAAGAAATGTGTCGGTAGAGAGAGAGAGAGAGAGAGAAAGAGAAAAAGAGCAACAAAAAAACGTAACCAAATACACAGAAAAGATAAAAAATATACATAAATCTAGTATTTATAGTGCGGTAAAATGTCAAGTGTAAACTGAACGTGAACAACAAATGAAAAATTCGAATTTCGATTCGTTCATTCACGACTTTTTGAGTCGCCAAACAGCGGCTTGAGCAACAGCAAAAGAAGAAGAAGAAGAAGAAAACAAACAGCACGTACACAACTCTATCTCTCTTCAGTCTTTTTTTCTGTTTTTTTTTTTTATATCAAAATATTGTGTTCGACCAATTCATTCGTAGAAGACTTGAAACGAATCCAACCCATTTGCATTGAGATACGATTTTCTATGACATGTTACAGCAGCAATCGCAGCAGCAGCAGCAACAACAACAACCGAGAATTGCATCGAAGCGAAAGCGTGAGTCAGGTATGTTCGAGTGTTGTTCACAACTATAGTGTCTATTTATCTCTCTCCCTCGAAAAAATTAAATCATGTTCATTTTTCACGTTCCGTGGCTCAAGCTAATCAATCAAATATAAGTAGCACGAGAAGTACGAACAATCGATCGTTATCAGATTGATTGCAGATTGGCAGACATTAAAGGCAAAATGGGCATTGCATTGTTGTTATTTTCCTCTCTGGGTCTGTTTTTGCTTTTGTTTTTACTTCATATTTTTCGTTCGTTTATTTATCTCTCTCATATTTCGGCACACATTCGATTCCCATTTTTATTAATACCAATTTGCATACAAATCAACGATGAGTAATTAGCATGTTTGGAAAGATTTGATGCAATTCCCATTTTTAGTCTTCGTTGCTTACGTAAGTGCAAGAGATGCGTTTTGCTGAAAGCCGACCGTTCCCCAACTAAGAATAAATCAACTCTCGCCAACCCAATCGAAAAATTGCATGATCGAAGTGATTCGAAGCAAAAAATAAAACGTTTTTTTTTTCTTTTTTCTTCCATTCATTTGCGCAATTAATAGTAATTTCATTGAAGCGCAAATGTGACGTTAAAAAAATGCTTATAATCAAGCTTTTACATTTTGCATATACTTCAAACGATTGTTTAGTAAATGACAACAAAAAAAAAACGCCGAACTAATTAATAGCGAAGGAACGTTTGCCATTTCAGCGATTTCACAAATAGAACAAAGGCGACAACAGCCACCACAGAGACAACAAAAATGATGAATTAAAATTGAGCCCAATTGAATGAAAAAGCCGGGCAATTTTTCAGCTTGGCTTCAAAATTCAATGCATTTGTAGGCGTAGCAGCTGCTCGTCACCATTTACATCGTCAATTGACGTATCGCACTTGTGTTTATTTCTGTGTACGCGAATTTTATGACAACTTTGACGTTGCACATTTTTGTTTTCTTACCCGGTTGTTGTTTTTCTACGCGATTGTCTGGGCAGACATGCCACATTTTGCAATTCTGATTTGAACTTTAAGCGAATATGCCATGAAATCGACACAGACACATACAGAAAAAAAACCCCAATGGAACAAAAACAACAATGACGATAATAATAAATGACAAAACACATTTCGTGCCATTTGAAATGCTATGGCATTGCACAGTGAATCCTTTCGTCAAATGAAACGCAAATTAAATAATCAAAGTGAAAATTGTTAACTGCAATTTATTGTGAAATCGATTTCCATACGAAATTCTCGTTCACTTGGCACAAACGAAGGATCAATAGGGATCGATATTGGTATTGCATAAATTCGAAATACCTGAAATATTGCGTATGTGCGCCCTTTTTTTATGATGGTTGATGTAAATCTTCTTCATTGCATGCACTCTATTTGCGTACATTAATTTCACGTCGTTTCCAATAGATAGCAAATGTCTTCCAATAAACATTTATGAGCTCTTGGTGAACTGTGATGCACGCACGCGGCATTTATTTGTTACTGGTGCGAGCAAGTGTGCGATGTTCATGTAATTGACATATTTCCGTATAGAATCCGTGTTAAGCATTGAATTCTATCTCTTGTTCGTTTTCTCAAACATTCACACTGAGCTAGCACAAGCTTGTAGCACGTCAACGTCAGTTAATTGTTAATTGGAAGCACGATACGTACGTTTTGTTTTCTTTTTTTTTTCTGTTTTTGCTCTGACGAACAGAAAACGAACGAACAAACGCAAGAAACACTATCAGAGTCACGACACACATCTATTATTGTTATCAGGGCAGGTGAAATACGGGTCAATCAAATCAATTTGCTGTGGTATTGCGAAAAAGGTCACTTGCCACCGAGAAGAACGAAATGAACGAATGAAAATGAAGAGAAAAAAAATCTCTTGAGATTCGGTTTTTCCTCTCCTCCATGGATGTATCTCTTGATAATGGATTCTCTTAAATAATCACCTTTTGCCGTCAACAATTTTGATGAAATGCACAGAGGAAATTGTTGACGAATGGAGTAGTAATTAAGAGTAATGCCATTAGGCAGATGATGTCGAAACAGGCATTTGGTGCGGTTAGATAAAGTAAACATCATGGAACTAACCAAGCCAAGCGTGTGCGCACACAAACACACAGCCATTCCGATTGAATGAGATCAAATTGAGCAGCATGCCGGTAGTTTGAGTTTGTGTAGCAATTGTTTGAGGATTTATATCTAGGACTTGTAAAATGAGTTAAAGTTTCAAGAATCCCGGCCATACAAATACAGAGCACTTGGAATGAACACATATGCAAACTAAGTAAATTGAAATTTTGTGGAACGTAGAAAAAAACGTGCACCAATTGAACGATCAATTCTTATTCCCCATTCACATATATCGTAGCACATTCAATCCCAAAGACACACACACTCACACAAGCATAGCAACAAATACGGGCGCACATTGCGCGAGACCGAGAAACACAATTAAATCCAAACAGCCGCTCAACGAAACAATAAGAATACTAAACGAATGGAATGATTCGCGCGCAAATTTATTACAATATATTACATTATTATTATCATTATTAAGCTGAACCCATATTAAAATAATAAAGGCTATGACGAAATCTCGCCGCTTTTTTTCATATTTCGTTTTCAGCGTGCCGCTGAACGTTTTATGTGGAAAATTAAAAATTAGAACTAGAAAAAGAACGAGCGAAAAGAAGAGAGAAATAGAAATGGAAACAAAACAAAAACTGAATGGGAAATAAAATTGACTTCGAAATGGGTGCACTAACTAGGGGAAATTGGGTAAAGGTTTCATGTTAATGCTGATTTATGGCACAAAATGTCTACGGAACAAAATTGGCAACGAGAGAAACACAAAAAAAAAATTTCCTGTCTGCAGTTGTTTTCATTGCAATTTAAGCCTGAACACAAACTCGGGCACCGTTTGCCAACTGTGTGCGCGCTCAAAGTAAACCACTTGAGATTAGTTGTTGTTGTTTTTTCTCTCTCTTCATTCGCTATGTCTACTATAAATTTGCTCTTATTTGCAGAATATGTCAATTAATTTCAATAACGTTTCGTGCAGTTCAGTTTTTGTCTAGATTTGGCATTCTTTGCCGAAGTAATTAAATAAAATTACATTTTACACACAGTGTATTGAAGCAAACACACGCGCACACTCACACACTCATCTATAAAAATCAATTACTGACGCTAAATCGTCGGTATGATTCATTCGATGTGTATAATTCAGTTGGAACGCGTTTGGTTTTTTTTTTCTTGCCCTCAAAACAACTTTCAGAGCTCTCAAATCAACTTCTATGTGACGGCATAAAGCGATCAAGGCACTCTGCAACATCATGTCGAAATGTCTCTCTGAATGTTATTTTTTTCGTCTCTGCTTACGCACGTTTGTGTGTTGATTTTTTGCAATATTAACAATTACGCCGGCAACGCGGTATGGAAACTTTCCTAGTAACGAAAAAAGAAGTCATCCAAAATCATATTAACTATCCCAGCAGTTTCTCAATAAATGGCAATTATATTCATTTGAATCTTTATGAAATAATAATTCATTTTTAAGGCATCATCACTCTTGCGTCTCATATTGTGCCATTTCGGAGAATTTACATAACAGCAAATGACTCCCGTTCACACAACGTATCGGCGAATCAATAGAAGTGCTAATAAGCAAACCATTTTTGAAAATGGAAAATTTTCCATCAATAAGTTTACATTCCTTCCGCTCCCTGTTTACGTTTGGTGTGTATCGGCTGTAGCCGGGGCACGAGTAATGTAAAACAAAATCAATGCAGCCACCCAATCACTTGTCAACTTAATTCACATCGACTCACTCTCATTTCAGCTTCACTCAATCATCTTCAAATTGATAGATTTCCTTCTTTTATCAAATTATTATTTTTTCTATATTTTAGATTTATGCTTAGTTTGAGTTAAACAGTCTCTCTCCCATTTTTCCTCTCTGTTTCTTTCCCACTCTTCTCTCGCCCTTTTATCGCACAAAAACAATCACGGCTTGACGTGCACGTTCTATTCAAAAGACAGAGATAGAGAGATCTAATTCATTTTGTATAATGATATAGCAGCCAAAATTAGGCTTGAAACACACGAGCATGCAACAGAAAAGCGCTAGCAAACGAGCGTGTGAGTGAGTGAACGTTGTGTTTTGAATAAGGCGATTCGGCCGATGGGTTCTGTGTCGATGGAGTGAATATAAATTCAACATTACCAAACAAAAAGCGGATTCAGCAATATACGGGAATTGCGAGTCTTGTTGTTATTTTTTTGTTATTCGTTCTCTCTCTCTCTCGCTCTCTCTTTCACACACACACACACACACATTTCACAAACATTTGTGTTGATTCTCTGCTTATTTATTTTTGTCGGCAAGCCTATTATTAATATATATTTTTTTCCTTCTCGGTGTGGTAAAATAGAATTAGTGTGTATGTCTTAGAATCACAGTGAGTACAAAATGAAATGCAGCAACAAATTTCTTTTCTGGTTTCGAGACGGTTTTCACTAAGAACCGAAAATAGTCCGTTCGACTTGGATTGTGATTCTATTCTACGAGGCTCTCTCTTCCACTCGGATTGAAAGAAAAGAGAGACGAAAAAAAAAGTTGATTTGAGATTTTCGATCATTGAACACAAACCGAAAGCAAATTATAGTCTGAAAGCGGCACACTCTTTGTAAATGTGTAAATTTGAACAATGATTCCGGTGCGTATGTTTGTTATGGTTGCTTCTTAGGCCGAAGAAAAAAAAACAAACATGTGACAGCCATAGCGTGAAAGGAGAAAAAAAAACCTATAAAGCCACTATGGATCATGTTCTCCTCCGGTGTGTTGTTTTCTTTGTGCGACGAGTAGAAAAAAGTCAGAAGAGTCACGGTTGTTCAGAACTCGACTAGAATATCCCCATCTAGCCTCGATATTGTGCCCATTCCTTTCCTTCTCTATATTTCTCTATTCGATGTTGTTTTTTGGCGTTTA